TGTGTGTGTGTATGTATGTATGTATATGTATATGTATATAATTTAACTGTACCTTAAAACTATACTTTTATAAGCCTCTCCCTGAAAATTTGGTTATTAGACCCAGAATAGATAAAGTTTATTTAGTCTTAATAGGAAACACATTCTCCACAGCCTCTCGGGATTAAGATACAAATAGCTAAGGAGAGAAACATTAAATGGATGTCTATCATGAAATAGTTTTTGTATCATTCAAGATAGAACTCAGTTAATCTTTTGAAAAACTTTTTTTTCTCATCCCCACTCTCCCAGCTTGGTGATCCGGCGATTTTTCCTGCTGTAATTGTGGAACATGTGCCAGGTGCTGGTATTCTCAACAGTTACGCTGGGTTAGCCTGTGTGGAAGAGCCCAATGACATGATCACTGAGAGCTCCCTGGATGTTGCCGAAGAAGAGATCATAGATGACGACGAGGACGAGGACGATGACATCACCTTTACAGGTGTGTGTGCTTCCAATAGGCTTTCTGTAGGACAGGTTCAGGCAGGGTGACAAGCCGCCTGTACGGTTTTGAGGATAAAAAGTTCCTAACTTTTGAGTAGATGTTGAGTGACTGCATTATTGTAGAAGCTAGAGACCCATCTGCAGGGAGAAGAAAATTGTTTTCTGTATCCTCTGCTATGTTCCAGACTGGTTTCTCATCTCGCCTTCTCTCCTAACGACATTGGAATTAACATGGCTCCTATCGGAGGCATATAAAAGGGACCCGGCATGTGCAGCCAGTCACATTTTTATGGACTTCTTCTATGTCTACCTCTGTTTTCCTCATAAGTTCTTTTCAGGGGAAAAGATAGGAAAATCCCCCATACACACACAGTTGTTTTTTTTTGTTGCTATTGCCACAAATTGTAAAACAGAAGTTTGTAACCCAAACATAAAGTGAAACCCTGGTGTTTACAGAATATTTCTCCTCTGGTTAACTGTAATTAGTAGGATATTTCAAATTTGAAGAGTAGACTATGGAAGTGTGAGGTGCAGTGTACAAAATACTCGCTGCTATAGTCTATAACAACTCATATGTGACCCTATAGGATAGGGTAGGAGCTGTCTCCTGTGAGTTTCTAAGACTGTAAATCATTTTTTTAAATTGTTTTATTAGGGATTCATACAATTGTTATCACAATCCATACATACATACATTGTGTAAAGCACATTTGTACATT